TAAAATATCACAAATCCGCGCAACGCGCAGACCTTCTCCTAATATATAATAGAACAAAGTTCAATAAATAGTACAATATCTATATATATAAAGGAGAATAGTCTCTTTTCGTATGCTGCCACCTCATCCACTCATATCTCCAAATGGTGACACATCATCTATACTTTTTATTAATTTCAAAATAAGTTTATTTCATTTATTATGTTTTCTGTCATGTTATTTTTAATTTTTATAATAACTAGCATTCAATAATACGATAATTTTAAACAGAAGTTAAAAAAGTTATTTCTTTATAAAAGATAGGTTAAAACTTTAAGTTAATTATTTAGTTCTATCACATTTATTTATAAAATTCAGTAAAATATTTACTTTTAAATACATACATCAAACATAATCAATAATAATTTGAATAATTTATATATTTTATTTCTATGATTAGTAAAAACAGTAAACTTTTGGGTACATATGGATCAAATCGTGAAATGAGAGATAAATAAAGAGAGTTAATTTATCATAAATCTGTATAATATAAATAAAAATATTTATTATCTCACTAATTTGATCTTTATAATATTTAATCTATTAGAAACCAATATGATCATTTACTTTATCTACTTAATTTTGTAGTTGTAAAGTTAGGTTTTTATATGAGAGAGAGAGAGAGAGAGAGAGAGAGAGAGAGAGAGGTTATGAAAACATATTACAAATACATGAAGACGTTATAGAGTTTGTAAAATATTAACTGTTTACGGAAAAAATTAATGTCAGATTAATGAATATCCGACTAACATTAATATAGTTTTTTATTCATATTTAATATTATTTATAAATATAAATTTTCAAAACTTGAAAATGTGATAAAATTTATGAACAAAACATATATTTCCATATTTTTATTATTATATATATAATTATATATAATATATTTTGATGAATTCTATTATGAGATCGGTATTGTTGTTTATAAATTTTGTAAAATATTAGCTGTTTATTTTAAAAAATATATTAAATTAATGAATATTCGACTGAAATTTAAGGAAAAAATATTTATAGTAATTAATACTGTATTTTGATATAAAATTATTATTATAACAAAGATTAGATATCCATTATTTAATTTTATTTATAAATATAAATTTTCAAAACTTAAAGATGTGATAAATTTTATGAATTAAAAATATATTTAAATATGTTTATTATTATAAATATAAATATATATAATATATTTTTGATGAGTTTTATTTTATTAACCATATAAAATGACTAAATATTTGATATGAGTAAACTTTTTAAAAATTATATTATCAAATGATATATAAAAATCTGTGCGAAGCACACATCACCTACTAGTAAAATCCACACTATTATTTGAGAAACACTTAAATGTTTAAACATAAATCATGTTTTATATTACATTAAATGCCATTGCATTTTAACTTTTTCCTTAGATTTTCATTAATTGTAGTTTAGTCATTTGTTAATACAAGAAATTAATTTTTATTTTCTTTTTTCTTTATTTAATTCTTATATACCTATTACTAAACACATTGATTTTCAAATATTATTTAGATTAGTTTAATTCCAATTACCAAACACATTTAAATAATTTAAATATTTTTATAAATAATTATTTCGAAAATTCTAATTAATTTTAAAATTAATTAAATCCAAATTATATAAAACGAAATGAAAATTATAATTACTATATATGTATAAGATTTAATTATAAACGTTTATACATATAAAACATTTAGCAAAAAAAATATAACAAAAACATATTTTTCATATATAGGCCAAACAAATACGTTTATAAGCAAATAACAATCTATTATAATGCAACAATATAATAGGCCAAACAAATATATTTATAAGCAAATAACAATTATAATTGCTATAAATATATCTAATTAAATTATATAAATTTACACAGTATAAAAGATATTGTATACAAAAACAATAATTATATTCTTATTATTATACAATAATATAATAAGCCAAACACATATGTTTGTAGGCAAATAAATTAAGACATCATTTTTTATGAATAATTATATATTATTTGTTAGTGCAATCTAATATCAATTCACATTTCAATTAAATTAATTCAAAAGTTAAAGCACCATGATTAATTAATACTAAATGACAATAACCATAAAGTCTAATTCAAATTATATTTAGTTATATCAAATATCTAATTAATCGATTGCATTATTGTTTGGCTAAAATTGTTCTCTATTTATATTTTCCCAAACATCAATATTTTTTAATCGAAATTAATTTTTATTATATTTAATATAATTTTCAGTTTATATATTGTGTATATGGTTGTTATGTTTAATCTTATAGCTTTTCATTTATCATTCTTTTGTTTAAGGAAGAAGGAGAAGAAGAACAAACAAGAAAGAGAAGAAGAAGGAGGAGAATAAGGAGAAGTGATGAAGAAGAAAAAGGAACGAAGAAGAAGAAGAAGAAGAAAGAAAAGAAGGGATAAAAATAAAGGATGAAGAAGAAGAAGAAGAAGAAGAATGAAGGAGAAGAAAGAGAATTAATGAAGAAGAACCACATAGAAGAAAAAGAAATGCGGAGAAGATGAAAAAAAAAACAGAAAAGAAGAACGAAGAAGAAGGAGAATGGATGAAGAAGAAGAAGGCATGAAAGAGTAGGAGAATAAGAAGAAGGGATAAAGAAAAAGAGGGGATGAAGGAGAATATCGAATAACATAGAAGAAAGAATGGAGGAGAAGACGAATGAGTAACAAATGTCATTAGATCGGCTGGTAAAGGATCCTAGAAAAAGCTTAGGGGTCACTTGATCGAGTGACGCTTGGGACAAAACTAATATTACATGATGTGATTTCGGGTCTGGAGAGATTACAGGCTTCAGTCTAGAACTTCTTGGTAATCCAAAAAAGAAATAGATGAATGAGGAGAAGAAGAAGAGATTAAGAAGAAAAAGAATAAGTAGGAGAATAAATAGAATAGATGAATGAGAATAAAAGTGGATGAAAAAGAATAACAACAGAGAAGAAGAAGGAGAAAAAAAAGAGAAGAAAAGGTGAAGAAGGAGAAGTAGTGATGAAGAAGGAAAAGGAACAAAGGAGCAGAAGGGATGAAGAAGAAGAAATAAAACGAAGGAGAAGTGATGAAGAAGAACCACAGATGTAAAAACTCAAGTCCGACTTATTGAAGGACTAGGGTTTAAGGGTTTAAAGAGAGATCTTTTATTAGAAGAAGCCGGAGCTTGGTTGAATACAACGGTGTTTAGGTCGTCGGAATAAGAACGCCGACCTAAAACTGTTTAAGGAAGTAAATCAAGAGCTAGAACAATCTGATCGCTTAGTTTGCTCTAGGTCTTGATCGATGATTTTCGGATGGATTTGAGGAGTCGAGGACTTCCTGTATTTATAGCTGATCAGGTCTGTCTTCAACCTGTTTGGAATAGGAAACTCTTCTTGTCGGCAAGAAGGAGTTTCCTTTTTTCCCAGGTCGCTCGATAAATGGAAGATTTCCTTTCATGTCGCCGACCTGAAACTTGTTAGACGGGCCGACCAGGATTCATATCAGGCTTGTTAGAGATGGTACGGATCTCATCTCTAACAACAGAGAATATGAAAAACAGCAAAGAAGATAAAAAAATAACGGAAAAATAAAACCAAATACGAAAATATTAGCCCAGGTAAAGGAAAAAGGAGGAGAAAAAATAACAGAAACAGGAAAATAGAAAGAAGAAGAACAAAAATATATAACTAACTAATATATATTCTTATTCATATAACTGAATTATAAAAAGAATTAAGATGTCAAATATTAAATTCTTTTTTCAATTGAATTACCAAATAAATAAATATAGAAATTGGGTTTAGAAAACAACAGTAAAATAAAACATAAGAAATTAGTTAATATGGTTAGATTATTTTTTTAATAGGAAAAAAAGAAGAAGAAGAGAAAAGAACATAAAAAAAGAGAAATGAACATATAAGATGAAGAAATAAAAGAACGGAGAAGAGGAGAAGAATATAGAAAAAAAAAAACAGAGAAAAAGAAAGAAAAGAAGAACAAAAAATAAAAACAGAGTATAAGAATGAAGAAAAAGAAAAACAAAGAATGGAAAGGAGAAGGAGAAAAAAAAATTAAATACAATATTAAAAATATATAACCTTTTACAATAACAACTCGCGTATCTACAACTACAACGTATTTGAATAAGTAACACATAACTTATGTTATTTTATTTTCAACTTAATATTTTTATACTTACAAAAATTAATTTAATTCTCATAACACAAAATAATCTATTATTAATATAACTATAAAATAAACACATTATAAACCTCATACTCATAGCATATTTGTAGATTGATAATTTTATTTTAAAAAACTTCATTCTCGCGTGGATGCGCATATATTTGCGTAGTCGATAATTATCTAGATCAACACAAAATATAATTTATTAAGAATAAATCACCAATTTTTTGTTCATCTAATTTAAAATATTCGACAAATATATTTTGAGTGTAAAAAAAATTATTTAACTACTTATAAATACATACAAATGATAAATAATTATATTTATTTACTTAAAATATTACTTTATTAAATTATTAAAATAATATAATTTATATAATAACCCATCTTATATCACATAATTTGAATATTTATAAAATTTATTTCAAAAATCATATACATGCGCGGGAGCGCAGGTCCAACATCTAGTTTCAAAGTTAAATAAGGAACACTGCATAAGAAATTAAAGTCTAACATAAAATAGAATTCTCTTACAATATAAAAACATCACATCTATAGTACAACGATTGTATGATCTTATCCCTCACTATCTTCAGATCAGACATAATCTTCACCCTGAATTATTTAATCCCTTCTTTTTCCGACATAAGAACCACATTTGTTGACTTGTTCTCTTCCTTAATTTCAATCCTTTTTTTACAAATATAACGATAGATTCTAAGAATTCAAATTAGTTGTGAATTGAATTTGGTGGGAAAAAAAATAAGGATTGACTGGTTTGGTAAAAGGGATTATCGTTGAATTTGGTTGAACGATAATTAATATAACCACATAGAGTTGCCTCAGAGATTATAGAAATAGTTTTCAGGATTCACGAGTGGACTAAGTTGGCTTTCGTTTCATGCACTTGCAACCGTCTCGTGACCATGGATGAGTCGTTGCAACTTCTCTCATGTGTTGTGTTGAGTCGCTTGATCTGAGCGGAAACAAGTTTGCAAAGGTGGATAATCTTCGGAGATGTTCCACGTTGAAACACCTTGATCTGGGTTTCAATCAACTTAGAAAAATCTCTCACTTGAGTGAGGTGGGAAAGTTCAGGTTTATGCATGTCCATCTTTATATTTCTTTCGTTCTGAAGTTGCTTAACATTTACGTCTCTTAGTTAGTATCTTTCAAAACCATTTAGCTAGTCTTGATGGTTCTAAAACCACTATGGCTTAGTTTGAAACTACATAGATATAAGAACACTTTGAATACTCCAGATTCTCTTGTTTCTGTTTTTTAGTTCTTTTTTTAAACGTATCTTGATAAAAAAAACAGCCGCGTCAAGCATTAATCTATTTATGACAAAAGAAAATAAAACATGCTTTAACAAAAAAAGAAAAGAAAATACATCATCCTTACTGATGTCACTTTATTAATGTACGGATGGATAATACATCATACATGACCCTTTTTCATTATGCTTGCTGATGTCACTTTATTGATGTACTGATGGATAATACATCATACATGACCCTTATTCAGACAGCGGTAAAAGAAGAAGTAGGCGTAAATTTGTTCTGTAGATCCACGACAATACTACGATCCAACTTGAATGCCCTTGCAAGAATATCCGGGTCTATCGGCGGGGTACACCCAAACACGGCGTTAGCAGTAGTGCTAAGACCTGGGTTTTGGCTGTTCAAAGCAGTGAATGCAACTGCTGAGACGTTTCCAATATTGGCTTGGAAATGGATGAGTCCCTCTGGAAACAAAAATACATCACCTGGGTGGAGTGTTTTTGTGAAGAGACGGTTTCCATCTTGGTCTGCCGTGACAAAACCCACCGCAAGTGTTCCTTCTGTGACAACCAAGAACTCGCTGGCACGTGGATGGGTGTGAGGCGGTTCCACCCCGTTCACTGCATAATCTGCACGGGCAAATGAAATTCCAAGGGTATTTAAAGCCATAAAATTATCAGCAGAGACTAAACTGATGTTTGCTCGGTCCTGATCGGTTGGCTCTCCTGCCGCGAGCCCTGTGAAAAAGAAGTCATCTGCTGTGGCGAGCTTTGGGTCTTTGCAAAACTTTCCGTTCACAAACACTGAACATGATAACCATATAACAAAAGAAGTTTATGAAATGAGAAACCAATGAAAGGCAAGCGTAAACAATCATTATGTAAAAAAAAAAAAGACAATCATTATGTACGCACCACCATTGGCTGAGCTGTTTACGCCGACACAGAAGTCTTGAACGTTTCTGGGATCAGAAATGGCTAATGGAAGTGTTATAGCCAAGAGAGATACACTTGCAAGAAGAAATGAGAGACTCTTCATTGGCATATACTAGTTGAAGCAATTCTTAATTATAAGAGAGGAAGGGTATTTGTGGTGTAAGAAACTTATGAGACGTGTAGCTATTTATAGATAAAAACGTAGGGCATTCTCAGTTTTCTCCGCAAGTTGTAGCACATGTTCAATATCCCATTAACTTCACGTGTATTTTTGGTTTTTGTTTAATGGTTTGGACCACTTGTAATTGGGCCTTTCTCGTGTAATCATCTTTGCCCGTATATGCTTAGGAAATCTTCATTGGTAGAACCCTAATTGAGGTTCTTAACAATTTTTTAATATAATTTTTTCATCTTTTCATTTTAAGAACTTTCTTAAACTGATTTAATTTTTCTTCTCCTCCATTGGTAAAATCCATTATTATATTTTAAACATAGTAGACATTAGACAAAAGGAAACCCATTTTATACTAAATTCTGGATTATCCATAGAAAGAAAGAGAGACAAAAATATGAATTACCCAATCGTGACAAACAAGCATGAAGTGATCAGCTCCACTGCTTCGACTCCAAAAGGGGTGGTTAGTGGATATTAATCTGATGTAATCAGAAGCAAAAGTTCTCAAAGGCTCAGCGTCTTATAAGTATTTGACTAGCCAAGTAACACTAAAGGGCAAGAAGTAGACATGAGCTTGGTCCGGGTCGTATGTACGAAACTTGGCCTTCGTTCTCTCTATCTCCATTATGAATCTGCCTTCAACCGCGTATACGCTCTTGCACGGTTTGGCGTGAGCTAACTGTGGCTCGCCTTCCTCGTAGACATACACCTTAAACCTCTTCTCCATTTCCAGAAAACTGTAACTTATAGTAGTCTATAGCTTAGCCGTAATTGGATTAAGGCACATGTGAAAGAAAGTGACGTAATTCGTGAAAATGACACATTAACACAAACCTTAATTCTTAGCAGGCTTTGGCTTAATTGCACCGCCTAAGTTTTATATAGACTGATTCCATTAAAACTACATAGTCATATTAATCTCAAATGAATCGATTGCTTGTGAAAGAGTTTCCCTCAAAATCATGATCTTGAATTAGGAGATAATGGAGAAATAAAAGGGAGGAAGACGATCGGAAGAAGATCAATTGCATCAGCAATGTTCTGTTGCTGGTTCTCAATATATCCTTCCTCTTTGTTCTGCCATTACAAGCAAAAACAAGGTTATCAACGTAGAGCCAGGCCATAAGAGAATGTAAAGAATGGGCACAGCAGATGATTACATTGACTTTACTATTGGAATCAATCAGTCTGTCGACCACGAGGGACATCAATCTCTCTTGAGAAACCTCGTAACAGTCAGGATTAAGATTCAAGTTGTTTCTCAAGAGTAGAACATTACCTGTTGCATCCCAAAAATCAATCACAATCAGGAAATATAGTGTTAATTAGTCTATTCATTATGAAAGCAGATGAGAATTTACAAGCTTCAGACTTCAAATTACAAAAATAATATGAATACTCCTTTATCATAAAATTTCACACTTGAAGAAAAACTTCTATCATTAGCTATCAACAAAATCTGATCATAGGTTCACTAAGCATCAAATCAAAACACTTACGGGTATTACAATATGCCAAACCTAACACAGATTCATTACAATTCCAGAAAAATCAGTAACGAAAACCTTTCCTTCCAATCGGAGTGCCATCCATAGTCACCTTCACAAACATGGAACTTCTCATCTTCCAATCGGAGAACGCGTGGCAGAGAGCGAGGAAGAAGGGCAACAAACGCCGATATAAGAGCATCTGCAATGGGACTTTGACTTTTTTTATATCAGTCTCTCTTTTACCTCTTCAATTGTCTCTAATTTTACATATACTAGGTGATACCTACACAGATGCGCGGGTTTTGTCATATAAATTTTTTTTTTAAATATACATTTGTATTTTCTTTAATATTTCTTATTGATTTACATCTATTTTCTCTATTGAGTCTTATTTGATCAAAATGACAAAACTTCCAACTCTGGAGTAACTTTTTTTCTTGACAAAACATAGTCCTATTTCAGAAAATCATCATCTTTGTTTACTCACTAAAAAATGTAATAGCTAAACCAAAATACGAAACCTAACCATAAGTATTACCAAGAAGAATGAGTACTACTTCAAAATCTACCAAATATCAACTCTCTGGAAAGAGAACTCAATTTTCCAATTTTCGTTTTTCCATTTTGCTAAAGAATTGTAACAAATACCTCTGTTTTTGCTGTGTCTAAAGTGCATTGTAACAAATATATAAATCTGCAATTCCTCTCTACGGACATGGATGTAGTTTTTTTTTTAAAAAAAATTGTTAAACAGACGTAGATGTATATAGATACAATTCAAATCCATGATCATTCACATAATAAGCTATTGGGTTAAGGTGGACACTAAAAAATAGACATTAAAAAATTCTACCAAAAATCAATCAGCTAAGACCCTTTATCCTTTTTCTCTTCTTACCCTTTTCTTAAGACCTTTATCCACAAAACACTAGAAAACTATTATATTTCAATATTTTCATAGCAACTCATCTTTTTTATGATTATATATAGTTTTGACATTTATCTAAGATATAGTAAAAGTTGAATTTCCGAAAATATTATCAATCTATAAAAATATATAAATTATTCTAATATATAAAATAATAAATAAGAAACATGTGTTTCATTTTAAATGAAAAACCTCAAAAAAATAAATGTGTAACTGAAAATCAATAGCCAACTTATACATATTTCAGTTCATCTAGTCCATGCAAATATGACTTTCCAGTTTCACTACTTAACTACTTAGTCAACCTTTGTAGTTAACCTTTCAGTTAATTATTATTGTATATGCGATCGGTTAGTGAACCCTATTACTAAAAAAATGTTTTATGTTCTTGACAAAATTAAAAAAACGTTCCAAGTGTAAACATTAGTGGGAATTACCTAACATATTTTGTATCTATTTTTTTTACCATTCCACACATTTGATGAATACACCGATTTAGTATGTAAAGATATCTAAAATATAATAAAATATTTCGCTTCAAAAAACTTTTTGCACGAGAAAACAAAAAAAAAGCCATTCATACAAGTATCATAATATCTTGTCTCTAACTAAATCTAAACGTATAAAATCCAAAGTCTGAACATAAAAAAGCTTCCACTTTCATGGAAATGATACAACAAATAGATCCAACTTATCAAGACAAAGATGGAAAGAGAGAAAGAGAGAAAGAGAGAGTAGAAAATGAAACCCTTAATCTCTAACATCACAACACACACACAACTACAATCTCACACATTCATCTTCTGCTGCTTAAGCTATTACACCAATCACGATCATCCATGTCCCAGTCCCTATCCAAGTCTCTGTCCCGGTCCCAGTCTCTGTCCCTATCCATATCCCTATCTCTGTCCCTGTCCCTGTCCCTTCTCCGTCTCTGTTCCTATCTCTGTTTCTGTCTCTGTCTCGAAAATCAGGATCATAAGAATAATCCCTCTTACTTCTTTCGATGCGTGGGCTTCTTGATATAGAACGATAATCTCTTGAGCCATACTCATAATCATTTCTACTACCTTACCTCGATGGATAACTCGATGATTCAAAATCGAGCTGATCATCGTCTCTATAATTATGCCCTCTGCTTGTTCTTTTCTGATGCCATGATCTGTTGTTGCTTCTGATGCTCTTATATGAAGGTGCGGCACCCCAAGGCCACTCGTCTGCGTTTTCTGGTAAAGGAGCGTTGATTCCAAGGAACTCCAGTTTCATTTTCATATGTGGCTCTGGAGGGGTTCCTTTCTCCAAGATTTCCCATTCCTCACTCTCTATTTCCTCACGCCTCTCCTCATCTTCCTCTTCTCCAAATATAGTGATTCCAGACAAATGATCATCCTTTGGAGCTAGAGACATGAAGAAGCAGACACAATATAAGGCGTGAGAATTCACTTATCTCACGTGGACGATAATAGAACAGAGCAGAAAAGCTTACCTAAGTAACACGGAGGGTATCCAATCTCTCGCATCGTGTTGATAATCTGGAAATAGAACCAAAGGTTTCATATAACACCCGTGTAGGATTCAAGCAGCAAGAAAAGTAAAATTCATAGCGAGAAAGACTTAAAAAACATGAATGGTTGTTGTTTCAGGCAATGTTTGTGGTGCTCTGTCATTGGATTCTCCTTTCCATGGGCAACAACGGGTTTGAGAATCCAATGACAGAGCACCACAAACATCGCCTGAAACAACAACCATTCATGTTTTTTAAGTCTTTCTCGCTAAATATTTTGTCCCAATAGATTAAATTCTGTGAAAGTTTATCTTTAAAGAGTTAATGGCAGGGGAAATTGCAGACCTTCATCATCAGAGATCACCTTCCTTGGACAGTTGTTCTACAACTCCGTTCTTCTAAAAACCCAATATCCTTCCTGCAAATTTCAATCTAGATCTTAAGGAATTACTGAATCGAGCGAGCAAGACAAAACAGGGGTACACAATTTTTAGATATAAGGATGTTACCAAAAATTAATCACCTAATTGCAGAAATTCTCAACGAAAATGACAATTCTGCGAGTTGTAGAAGAGCGAGGAACAGATGAAACCCAGATGTTGACATTCTTGTCGGAGAAAGAACGAATCTTCGACCAGATTATGCTCCGCGTGATGGTGTCATCGGGGGATCGATTCATCTCTGCTTGTCATCTCCTCCTCCTTCATCTCTCTGGATTTTGGGGGTCGATTATTTATGTACATAGTTTTTGGATTTCAATTAAATAAGTTTTTCATTGGAAAGAGAAGGATATAATATTTTGGAAGGAGTGTATTATATTCAAAGGCACTTTTAGCAGTTTCAAATACATTTTAGGCACTTCTTAAAATAAAAGGCACTTTTAAGTTATTTACACCACTTATTATCTATTTTGCCCTTAATAATTAACTAGGAAACAAATCTAGAATCAACACGTGGACATTTAAAATCTTTACTAAAATATATAATTGTATAATTAAAATTAGAATTTTTTAAAATATTATAAAAAATAATTTTAAAGTTTTTATTTTATTGTATATTGTGATTACATTTAATTAATCTGACAATTATAAATTAGAATAATAAAATATAAAATAAGGTTAAATTATTTATTATGAATATAAATCATCAGTGACATAATACTAATAAAAATGTATAACTAAAATTATATAAACAATATGTATAATTCAATTTTTACATATTGTATTAAGAAAAGATAAAATTATCATCAATTATCTTCTTTGTTTTTCTTTATGCTCTTTTTGGTATAATTGTCTTTTGTTCCCCATCAGCAAGATTGTCGTCTTTTTTTATACGTTTTTTGTTTTTAATTATTCTTTTTGTCTTTTCTTGTATTGTTAGAGCAGAATTATGTTTGCAGTTTGAATCTTCAATTTTATCTTTTTCTTCCTTTGGTTGCTTCAATGTAATATTATCTTCTTTTATATCTTCTTGATGTAGAATACTTTTTATTGTCAAAAATTGCTTTAATAAATTATAATTAAAATTTATTCTTATATCCAATATTATATTAGTTACATTTGTTATATTTATTATACCTTTTTATATTTATGATATCACCAGAGATACCAGTTAATGTTAATCCAGCTGAAGTCGATTTGAAATTAAATGATGTAACTTTTAATCAAATTTGAATTTTTTTCCAATATATTTTTCTGATATAAATGAAATAATTGCTTCATCTGATGTGTCATTGTACATTTTTCCTGCAATTTTTATTACAATTTTTAACTCAAATTATTGTATTTATTGAATAATTATTTGAGTATTGATAATACAGTTATCATACTTACATAAGAAGTAACCAAATCTGTAACTGATATGTTTAACATCTTTGTTACATCTTTATTGAAAGTTGTCAATAAAGCTGTTTTCGTATCATCTTATTTGTTAGCCTCATGCCATTCTTCATCTCCTTCAGGTAATTTATGAGCAACACATGATTCTTGAAATCTTTTATATTCTTTTCCATTTAGAGTTAACATATCTTTAAAACTTGTAGGTCTTTTTAGGTGATTAATTAGAATTCTAAGATAATATAGTTCACCAGACGAAGGATGAACGTTATACAATCTTCCAATTGATTGACCCTTTTTTTCTTTTTTTCCATGTGTGATCTGAATTATTCCAAACGTACCTTGACGGAAATTGAACATATGATAACTTTCTGGCATCAGGATCTGATTTGTTCATCTCTAAATAAGCCATAAACATACTTGGTCTGCTTTCATAATTAGTAGCAACATTATTTAAATCACTTAAATTATTAAAAAGCACAAGTTGCTGACCATGAAGGTGTATGCTTAATCCCTGGACTGGAAGATGTTGATGATGTATCTCAAATTTAAAAATTAGACATGGATTCACAAGCGGGTACATATCGACAATCAAGATAATTTTCAATCTCATTTATATCGTACTTAACTACATCAGAATTAGTTGTACTGTTATTGACATTGTTCTCCAGTACAATTGTAGCTTTATCAACGCCTTTTGTAATATACTTGAATAGATATTTAATTGCACTTGTTTTATTGCAAAATTCAACATTATTATGTGCTCGAAAAAGCCTTAATAACTCTAAATTATGGAGAACAACATATTGATTATCTAATTTGATATCACCTTTCATAACATAGCTAGACATTATATCTCTACGCCTATATATAATGTATCCTTTTTTATCAATACATAATAAAAGACAAAATGGCTGGGGATATTTTTTAGTGCAAACACCATTCTCCATACAAGAGTTATTTGGTCTATTAAGTCCACATGGTCCATGCATCATATGTTGTTCTAATAATTCATAATCTTCGGGATCAATTACTCTATCAGGCAATTCAACAGTAACATATTTATCAATATCAATTGAGGAAGCAATATCATGTCCACATTTTAACCATATAAGAATATGTGAATGGGAGAGACCCTTTTTTTGAAACTCAACTGTATAATCTACTGCAGAAAAAAAGAAAAAAATCAGTATATAAATAATTAGATTTTAGCTAAATAATTTTAAAACCCAAACATAAATATATGTAACTCCATTTATTGGTCTAAAAAATTTATTCTTTTTAATAAAAACCATTAACTCATCTAATTTTAAATGAAAAACTCGTGATTCAATATCAGGCTTGTCATTGGCCGATGTATCACCAGTAATTTCTAAATAATCATTTATTTTATTCCATTTAGGATTAGCAGTCATGGTAATAGATAAATCAGGATTTTCAAAACAATGACAAAGCGTCATTGCATCTTGATATTTTCTGCCATATATCTTGGACTTTCAGTAATTGATGATGGCAATATAATTCTTTTACCAAGACTACGTGGATCATGATCTCCCTTTGATATGGTATCCTTTACATTATTATATACATCAGCTCTTATTGCCTTTTGATTAAGTTTAATAAATTTCTGACGGCTTGCCTCAATAGTCGTAAATGCATCTACAACATATTGATGAAATAATCTACCACTTTTTAGAATAGTGGATGGTTCGATATTTCTGTTATGTATACGATACATATAATATTTTGTCATTTTAACATAGCCATTATTGTGATCGGATGATGACCTTTGAACATATGGTATTCCTTCGAAAAACTCAACTTCTCCATAAGAAAATAATAATGGATATTGCAAATCCATATAAAGAGGATGAGTTGCCAAGATTCTTTGGAAATTGCCTGATTTATGATAAAGAAGAACATCTCTTCGCCAATAGTTTTAGAAAATTCACCGATTATTAAACCTGTTATCTCATTAGCTGATGGCAGATTATATTGTCTTTTCCTTTTTATCATATACTATCATATGAATTTTTATTTCACAAATATGACCACTTTCATATCTATCTCTAGATTTTCTAAAACCTTTAGCTAAAGTATTATTTTCATCAAGAATATTAATTAAGGATGATAAAAAAATTTCATCTAATGAATTTTTACCCTCTCGATTCATAATTGATAATCGATTTTGTAATTCATTAGTTGTAACAAATATATACATCTGCAAGAATTTAAGCTTTTCACGATCAATTGGTAAAAAGATCCAATACTATGATAATTTTCACCATGTACTTTAAAACAAAACGGACTACCAGAATTTAAGATTGAATAATCTATTTCAGCATCCATAGAATACATAGAGAGCATTGAATTAAACACTCTAATGTTTTTCTTAAAAGTGGATCACATAAAAATTTAGCACAAAAAGAGGCTTTTGTATATTAGGTAATTTTACACGATCTTGTTTACAATAAAAAATAAATAAAAGACGTTTTTGTAATACAATCTTTTTCTATGCTCTCAGCAAGCCATAATAAAGCATTACAATCTTCACACCTCATTAATTTATTATGTTCTAATTTTTATAACCTTTTTTTTCTTGTCTGCCAAATATTTCATAATTAATTATATAAAAAATATGCAAATACCTTTAATTTTTTTTCTTCTGAAAGTTGGCAATATTTTCGTTTTTTAAACCTATTATTCCAGAAAATTAAACTTACTTAACATAATATTTTAAATTAATTATTAATTAGTGACTAAAGTTTATTTTAACAAGCCATTAGAGAATAGAGCATTGTAACTTTCTCTACCAATTGCTTCAGATCTTTCAACATCCATTACCACATTTGCACATTTTGAAATAATAGTAAATTTAATATTAAATTTTATGATATTAAGATTATATACTATATTATTATATTAATATGTATATATATATATATAATAAAAAGTGTAAATACCTGCATCTTTAATTTTTAATAGACATCCTAAAACAAAATAAAAATAAAAATAACAATTTATAATAACACAAGTAAAACTTAAACCCATTAAAATGACATTTAAAATTAATACCGTTCGTTATAAAATTCTGGCATCCCAATATTTATATTTTTATTATTTTTGTATTCAATTTCTGGACGCATTATAAAACTATTTGATTTATGTTTTTAAAATACTGACATTTTCTGTTATCTATAAATAATAATAAAAAATGTTTTAAGAAGTTCTACATTTAATAATACTTTTTGTTCATTAAAGTAAAAAAATTACAATGATAAACTTGTTGGTTACCTGAAACTGAATGATGAATTGTAAATTTGGATGATGATTGAACCTTGCACAATGACACTTCCCTTAAAAAGTATTTCAACCTTTATCAAGCTTTGATTTAGACAAAAATCGTTGTAGGATAAAACACAGTTCTAATGGTGATATGTGTTTTTTCAGATTTTTTTTATGATCTTTTGGAATAGTGAAACTCTCTCTTACTTTCTTTCTAATTTTCTTTGCTTCAATTTGTTTTTTGTTTTTGTTGTGATTTTGGCAACGCCCACAACTCCTTTTATAGGAAACCAAAGGTCACTTCCAAAGATTACAATGGTTGATTAGGGTGCAATGATTGATCATCAACTGGTGCAATGGTTAGTCACCGAATAATGTAACCATACGCTCAACAATTGCAATGGTTAGTAATCGAAATGGTTGCAAATATTCATTTTACCAGTTGCAACAGTTCTTCAATATGTATATGTTAGGCAGACATAATAAATCTAATCTTTACCGTTAAATCTGGAAACAAAGATTGTTAACCATTAGATTGATTTTGTTTTAGCAACCAAAATGAAAAGTCGCAATGATTCATAAAGTTGCAATGTTTTAAGTATAAAGTTGCAATGTTTTAACTATGTGCCTATTTAGATTACATCTATATTTTTTTAACATTTAGAAGATAATGTCAGCAATCAAATCCTAGCCATTAAATTTTCAAATCAAAACTAATCAAAACAACGTCAACCGTTAGATTTGTCATTTTTTTCCTACAAAAAATGATGACATCAGCAGTTCAAAAAAGTTATTTTGCTATTATACATAGATTACTGAAAACTCTAATTTTTCTCCACTTATCGCCACTTTCTTCATCAAATCTCTTTCTCTCTAAACTCATTGCCATCTTTCTCCACCACTATATCTTTATCGATGGTTTAATCTGGGCAAATCGAATCTGAGTTTCTTTTGATTTGGAGAGTGATTTTGAAGAATCAGTATTAATCTCTACATCTGATAGATAATTAAATTGAAGCAGTTTTTGTGATAGGGCTATTGTATACAAAACCTTACAGAGGAATAATTTCTCCATCAATACAAATTCATCACGAAACCAGAATCTGATTCCTCATAGATCTTAATCCACACCTAAATCTCTCCGACAATTGAGGATGGTGTTGTTTTGATTTTGCAGAGTTCGGATTGTATTATATGTGTATTTGCAAATTGAACCAGGTGGGGGTTGTTTCTATTCAGATCTGATTGTGTTTTTGGCTGGTGGTGAAGAAAACGACAAAGTGAGTCAGATAATAGGTTGTCTATGTGGACAAGATCCCGTGGATAAGTTTCTATGGACAGGTTTTTATGGAAACATTTACATAAATATGGTTTTTGTGGACAGATTTTCAAGGATAGGTTTGCGTGAATCGGTTTTTGATGGTAGACAATCTTCCGTGGATAGGTTTGTTTCAAATTTTATGTTTATCAAAACGTGTCCATATGCCATTGTCCATGAAAGACTATCCACTATCGATGTCCTTGTGCCCATTGGATTTTGTACATACAAATGATAAAAAAATATACATAGGTGTTCATATAATTATTGACCTTTACTTCTCCTTAGGTGTTAAAATATATAGGTGTTAATATCTATGCAAACATAATTCATATCACCCAATCTTGTGAATGAGCCATGTCCATGAGGCTGTATCCATGTTAACATATCCATGTGACTTTATCCATGTTTACATATCCATATAAAATAGTATTAATAACTCATCAAGGAAACAAATAGCATGGATAGAATGAAAACAAATCGCATGGACACAAACTCACAGACACAGAGACAAATACACAATATCATGGACATAATGGAATGGACAAAATCGCGTGGATAAAGTTGCATATACAAAATCGTGTTGTTCTGTTTCTCACATATCGCCGCCATTGTTGAGATCTCAATTTTTGGTTTTTTGATAATCAAAAATCTGAAAAACAAAATAAAAAACATAACAGATCCACCCAATAACTAAGAATTTACTACCACCTATCAAGGAATCAATCAAATCACATAAACTATGGAGAAACGAATAATTGAGAATACCTTTTAATTGATTTGGAGATTTGAGAAGAACAGATCTACAGCAGATCGTGGTTTCTCTCTTCGTCCAAATCTAAAATAGATCACAATTTCTCTCTTTGTCCAAATCTAAAGCAGATCGAAAAGCCTGATGAGGGATAAAATTAAAGTCCGAAAAGAAAATTCCAAAGAGAGGGAAGGGGGCGATGAAGGAGAATAGACTGAGATTTTAATGTGATTAGGATTTTTGTTAGAGAATAAAATATTTTTTTATGTTTTACTATAAGATGATAAAATTTGTTTACAGTTCAGTGGTGAAAAGTGTTAAAAGGACAAAATCGACATTGCAAGTAGAAAAAGTGTTTGAATTGCTAAAAGTGTGTTTCTGTAAAATGAGTTTGAGAAAGTGCCTCCCACTGTAAATAAATCTTTTGGAAGAGACCTGGGAGAAACTAGTTTTGGTTTGACTGAACTGATTTCAAGAAGTTAATAGATATATATATATATATATATATATTATGTATCTGACGATGGATTTTATTTTATGTTATCTAATTTTTTGCAGTAGTGATGTGTCAAAGAGAGGGATGCTGAGGTGTCATCTTCTTGTGAAACATAACTCACTCTTTATATAATAGATTGCAAAGTTTCCAAAGCGACTGCTTGGTTAAAATATGTTTTTGTTATAGTAGCTTGCTAAAATAAATAGGCTTAGAGGGTTTGTCCAAAAAGTTAGTCGAATGATTAATCGTCGCTGAGAAAGAGTTGGAAACCATTTTCTTGCTTTTTCAAAACATATTTAGATAGAAAACTACTTTGCGGGTAGAGACTATTGTCAAAATAACTTTGTAAGCATTAATTCATTGAAAATGTTTAAAAGGGAAAGACAGCAATTACGATCATGTTAGATTATTGATCAACGGATAATACAAGATACTTATTCAAATGGAGATACATATCATTGAAGCAATTCAAAGCACAATATTTTTTAAGTTTTTGGTTGGAACTTGTTCTTTGTTATGTAGATCCACAATCACTCTAAGGTCCAACTGGATTGCTCTTGCAAGAACATTCGAGTCTATCAATGGCTTAGACCCAAACAAAGTATTAGCAATAGTGACAACACCTGTATTTTGGCTACTTAGAGCAGCAAATGCAACTGCTGGAGATCGTCCCACATTGGCTTGGAAGTGGATGAGTCCTTCAGGAAACACAAATAAATCACCCATGTTGAGTGTTTTTGTAAAGAGACGATTTCCATCTCCATTCGATGTGACAAAACCTACCAAAAGTGTTCCATGTCCAACATACAAGATGTCGGTAGCACGCAAGTGGGTGTGAGGCGGGTTCTGACCATTTTCTATGTTGAGTATTGGCCTAATCTCTTATCAAGGTATTAAAAGGAAAGTGACTTAATTTTTCGGTTAAGGGCTTAGAGGTTAAACCGCTTAATTGGTTTAATTAAGATGGTGTAACTGATCTCGGGTTTAGTCCTAGTTTTATAACCCTAACTTTATAAAAGGGTATATATACAAGCCATCTAGATCAAGTCATATGTATTCCATCATAACAGATTTGTACATTCTTGTTTACGAGCTTCTCTGGTTTTAGAGAACTCGATTCCTTTGGGGCTAGTGGATTTGCTGGACTGAGTCTAGCTCCAGAGAGTAGTGATCCATATCGGATACAAACTCTGGGTAAATAATTTGTGTGTTCTTTCGTTCAAGCTTTTACTTCTTTCCTTCTTGCTTATCAAATTGATTCTGTGAGAGATTGAGAGAAGTGAGTTTGAGTAAAGTTTGTTCTTAAGTAATTGTCAGATTAGTGTTTGGGCGCAATATTGGTATCAAAGCCCTCGTTATATCAATCGGAGATGGCGGCTTTAGGCAAATATGGCAACTCGAACAGAAGTAGCATGTTTCGACTGAAGTGGCAATTTCTCCATGTGGACCACGCGTATGACTTCGGAGGACTAAAGGGTGTCATCCTGAGCGATGATTTCGAGATTACGGTAATGGTGAAGAAAACCAAGAAGAAGAAGTCGGCGGAAGGTCTCTTGGTGTTTGCAGAAACCTCTGAGTCGAAGGTAGTTATTCTGGTGAAGCTAGATAAAGATGAACGTGCTAAAGATATAATCGTGGTGAATATAAGCATGGGTTGAAGATATTTTAAACCAAAAATATAGCCTGAGATTTTTACATAAAACTAAAGTCGTAAAGATTCATTTTTACCTTTACTTCTACTTTTTATTCATATATACAGTATTATAATTAAAAAATTAGCTAACATGATGCTTATAATTTATTTTTCTATCTGTTTATTTTTTATTTTATTTATAATTTTGAATTCTTGCTATATAATGAGAATTCATTCATATATGATATAAACTTTTTATTTAAAAATAAGATTTATTTAGTTTTAACTTAATCAATCAAAATATTTCGTTTATTTTAGGAAATTTGTCATGTCACATTTATGAGGTGCCATTGTTTTGCACTAACTTTTGCTAAGGTGATGACACATCATATTGTTTTCATTAAACGCTTCTCAAATAATAATTAAGATTATTCAGACAAAGTTAATTAAAGAAAACGAAAGCAGTTAGATGCTTTATTTTTTTTTTTTTATTATATGATTAGAATCTGTTCTGTAGATCCATGACAATCCTAGGGTTCAACTGAAATGCCTTAGCAAGAACGTTAGGGTTTATCGACGGGTTAGACCCAAACACGGTGCTAGTAATAGTAATAAGACTTGGGTTTTGGCTGTTAAAAGCAATGAGTGCAACAGCTGGAACTCGTCCCACATTGATATGGAAATTGATGAGTCCCACTGGGAACACAATTAGATCACCCTTGTTGAGTGTTTTGGAGAAAAGATGGTTTCCGTCTTGGTCTGACGAGACGAGACAATACCGGCCAAGAGTGTTCCTTCTTGGACAATCAAGAACTCGCTGGCACGTGGATGGGTGTGAGGAGGGATTAGGCCGTTTATTGCATAATTTACACGAGCAAATGCGATTCCTTGGGTGTTTAACCCTGGAAGGTTATCAGCAAAAACAGGGTTACACATGTTCCCAGCGCATTGGTTGCGACTCTTCGCCTGTCAAGCCCTGTGAAAAAAAGTCTTCTAATTTGGGTCTTTGCAAAACTTTCCGTTCACAAACACTGATGAATAACCAAATAACAAAAGAGTATATAAGGAAAAAAAAAGTATATAAGAAATGAGAAACCAATGAAATGTATGCGTAAAAAATCATTAAGTACATACCACCATCGGCAGGGGTGTTTACACCGACGCAGAAGTCTTGAACGGGGCTTGGATCAGAAGCAATGGCTAATGGAAGTATTAAAGCGAAGAGAGATTGAGTTGCAAGAAATGAGAGACTCTACATTGGCATTTACTAGTTGAAGCTATTCTTAGAAGAGAGGAAGAGTTTTGTTTGTTCTTTAATTTAGTCTTTTTGATGTAAGAAAGTAATGAGACAGAGTCACAGAGAGCTCAATTTATAGATAAGTTCACGCACTAAATTACAATAAATATATAAATAAATTTTAGATATTTAAGTATTTGCTTATATTTTACAAAGCATGAAAAAGAAGAAAAAAGACATTATATATACAAAAAAATCCTAAGCGCAAAAAATAATAAAACATAAAAATTCACATGTGGTTTTAAATTCATCTTGCAAGTTTAAGATTTATTAATAAATTAGATTAAACTTTATCTTATTTTGTTTTTGGATAAAGAGACTGAAACTTATTTGTCAAGTAGTTTTTGTTTATTTAGCTGCTTTATAATTATGTTTTGATTTATTCAATTTACTAGTTTTCTCGTTCCAGCAACTCTACTATTTTGATATTTACCAAATAATGTCATTAACTAAAAACAATAGAAGAAAACATTAAGAAAAGGATCGGAGTACGTTGGTTTTGGAGATTCGACTTTTCAATATCATTCTTTCTTTTCGGGGGAAAGTCACCGCTTAAGTACTTTTCGTAGGAGCCTATGTCTATAAGATAGGAGAATTGTTTGGGGGAGGGAATTACTCAATGTTTCAACGCTTTATTTTTATCAGAAGGGAGTTCTACATTTTCAGATGATTAACAAAATTGATTTGCACCACATGAATTGATAAATTTCTAGCATTCTAATTTCAAAAAAAATATGAACGTATATGTGGAAAAGCTTAAGAGAATTGATTTGCTTAGCTATGTTATCAAAATGCATTTCTTTTCAGCAACTGGTCCCGAGAGAACTCGACAGTTAAAGGTGTTTGAGCTGGAATCCTCTATATATTAAAAGAGAAGTATTTTTAAAAAATAACCTTAATTTTGTAAATTATTACAGTGGTACCATTTTGCTGATGTATCATCACCAGAATCATTTTTAGCAAAGTTATAAAAATAAAATTATGTTACTAGATTAATTACATATTATGCCACTCACATTAATTTGGTTATACATTAGTTTATATCAATTATATTGATATATGATTCATGAAGATATTATCTTTTCTATTTCTTACCAAAAATATATCATATTAATTATTTATTTAAATACTATATTTTATCTCTTATTTTTATAGAAAAATAAACTATCACATCATTCATATAGTAAAATATTTATAGTGTTATAATTCAAATTTCATAAAAAAATATAAATTACTCAAATGATTAATAAATAAAAGTATGTTTTAAAAGACTAAAATTGAAAATAAGGATGTGTAGATAGATGATTCATAAATCAATATAAAAATACATAAATGATAAAAAAAACAGGAAGCTTAATCTAATATATATTATTTTTATAATTATTTTGGTTTCATATGGTTTTAGAGCCATATAAATTAACTAAATAATATAAATATTTAAACTTTATAATAAGTACAAAATATTAATAAAAATTTGAACTATAAAAAAAATTTGAATATGTTAATAGAATATAATATTATAAATATTTTATTTGATTAAAAAATATTAAAAAAAATTAATTTACAGAACAAAATAACTTGATAAAAAACTAAAATACTTTTGTGAGGATATTATTTAATAATTTTATTAAAATTTTTGATATTAAAAATATTTTTATTTAATCAAAAAGTTGAAAATGTATAAATATTGACTCAGTTATATACAATTTTAGATAATTTATTAAAAAAATAAAAAAATATAATCTATTTTTATATAATCCTTATGTATATTTAGTATTTAAACTAAATTTCACAGTAATTTTCTTTTATTAAAAGTTAATATTCTTATGACTATAGTTTTTGCGGGTTAATCTACATATGCATTTACATTCGTATAAAAAATATTAAAATCAATTATAAAATCTTATAATCAAATTTTATTTTTATAATTTTAATACTCTCTATTTCAAAATATAAGTAGTTTTGCATCAAATCACAAAGATTAAAAAGCAACTTTTATTTTAAAAAGTAATCATTTAGTATATAAAATGTATATAATTCAACTAATTATGAAAAAATGAAAAATATAATCGGTCACATAGTATTCATAAAAAGTAGTAAAAAAAATTAAAATAACTATATTGTGAAACAAAACAAAACTTTAAAAAAACTAATATTATGAAACAGAGAAAGTAGTAAAATGTTTTTATTATTATCATAACGCATTAGATACTTAATAATTTAATCAAAATATACTCCCTCTATTTTTTAAAATTTTACGATCATGTTATTAATCATGGGTTATAAAAAATATAAAGAACGACTTCCTTTTTCTATCCAGATTGTGCATATTTATCTAAATTTTAAAACAAATTTATATTATAATTAAATTACCCTATATTTCATAAAATAAACAAAAAAATTATTTTGTCAATATTACAACATAATGTTATAATCAACTCATATAAAATCAATTATATTTTGTTATATGATTTTAGAATTATACTATATTAAATAAATAGTTATTATTTCATCACGCACAGGGTGCAGGTTATTACCTTAATTTTGTAAAATATTACCTCTATATATTAAAAGAGAAGCATTTTAAAAAAATAACCTTAATTTTGTAAAATATTACAGTGGTGCCATTTTGCTGATGTGTCATCACCTGAATCATTTTCAGAAAAGTTATAAAAATAGACTTATGTTACTAGATTAATTACATATTATTACACATTAATTTGGTTATGCATTAGTTTATATTAATTATATTGATGATGATTCATCAATATATTCTCTTTTTCATTTCTTACCAAAAATATATCATATTAATTATTTATTTAAATACTATATTTTATCTCTTATTTTTATAGAAAAATAAATCATCACAAAATTCATATAGTAAAATATTTATAGTGTTATAATTCAAATTTCATAAAACAAATATAAATTACTCAAATGATTAATAAATAAAAGCATATTTTAAAAAACTAAAATTGAAAATAAGGATGTGTAGATGGATGATTCATAAATCAATATAAAAATACGTAAATGATAAAAAAAGACAGAAAGCTTAATCTAATAGATATTATTATTATAATTTTTTTGGTTTCATATGGTTTTAGAACCATATAAATTAACTAAATAATATAAATATTTAAACTCTATAATAAGTACAAAATATTAATAAAAAGTTGAACTATAAAAAATAGTTGAATATGTTAATAGAATATAATTTATAAATATTTTATTTGATTAAAAAACTTCATAAATTTTTAATTTATACAACAAAATAACTTGGTGAAAAATTAAAATATCTTTGTGAGGATATTATATAATAATTTTATTAAACTTTTTGATATTAAAAATATTTTTATTGAATCAAAAAGTTAAGAATGTATAAATATTGACTCAGTTATAAATAATTTTAGATAATTTATTAAAAAAAATAAAAAATATAATCTATTTTTATATAATCCTTATGTATATTTAGTATTTAAAATCAATTTCACAGTAATTTTCTTTTCTTAAAAATTTAATATTCTTATGACTATAGTTTTTGCGGGTTAATCTAAATATGCATTTACATTCGTATAAAAAATATCAAAATCGATTATAAAATCTTATAATCAAATTTTATTTTTATAATTTTAATACTTCCTATTTCAAAATATACGTTGTTTTGCATCAAAGCACAAAGATTAAAAAGCAACTTTTCTTTTAACAAAGTAATTTAGTATATAAAATGTATATAATTCAACTAATTATGAAAAACTGAAAAATATAATCGGTCACATAATATTCATAAAAAATAGTAAAAAAAATGAAAACAACTATATAGTGAAACAAAACAAAACCTTAAAAAAAACTAATATTATGAAACAGAGGAAGTAGTAAAAAAAATTTACTATTATCATAACGCATGAGATACTTAATAATTTAGTCAAAATATACTCCCTCTATTTTTTTTGAATTTTAAGATCATGTTTAATCATGAGTTATAGAAAATATAAAGAGTGACTTCCTTTTTTATCGAGATTGTGCATATTTATTCAAATTTTAAAACAAATTTATATTATAATTAAATTACTCTATATTTCATAAAATAAACAAAAAAAAATCATTTTGTCAATATTACAACATAATGTTATAAACAACTCATATAAAATCAATTATATTTTGTTATATAATTTTAAAATTATACTATATTAAATAAATAATTATTATTTCATCCCGCACAAAGTGCGGATTATTACCTAGTATAGTTATATTAGGTGATCTTTTTGGAAAGTGATTTACAAAATTGTGTAAATAATGATAAAATACAGAGAAAAATTATGTGGTGATTGCAAAGTGAGTATTTCATGACTTTCGAGCCTCTCAACTAACACACTAGTTGTCGAATATGGGTAGGGTCTATGGGCCCAAAAACAGGTGTGGATACTCAATAGTATGAGCGGTCCGAGCGTTCACAAAATCATATTTGAGTATTTCATGTTCTAGGATCAAGCTTAATCAAATTTCCCTAATCTAAAGAATAAAAGTGCAAAGGAGGTCTCCAACTAAACATCATTAAACATATCATCTCTTAAATTGTTTCTATTTTAACATATATTGCAAAGGTCCTAATTGTTGTTATAGTTAGTAGCTGGCTAAAATAAATCGGTTTAGAGGGTTTGTCGAACGAGTTAGACAAGCATGGTGTAATTGAGTTAAGACCACTTAGCCATATGATTAATCGTAAGTGAACAGGTTGAAAAAGAGTTGGAAACCATTTTCTTGCTTTTTTGCAATGTTTTTAAAATGAACCGGAGAAGCTTTTAAGTCAACCGTCAATTGAGTCTGATGATATTTCAAAAATAATACATATGCAGCTATTTTTTTATAAGGATGATAAATTTCCAATTGAAATCATCATGAAACAAAATTAAATTACAAAATTAATGGGAAGTAAAACTTAAAAATATAGACTTTAACTTGATTTACATGTGAGTTACAGAAATTTGATTAAAAATAAAAACAGAATTAAAAATGTAACAATAAAATAAAAATTATATATAACATTGTATTATTTGGTTCATTAGTTTACCAGTTTTCAGGTTACAAATGGTCGGATCCGGTTTTCTAATCGGTCTAACTATCAAAATAACTTTGTAAGCATTAACTTCTTTTTTTTTTGTAAGCATTAACTTTGTTGAGAAGAAGATAATAAAAACTTAATTCATTGAAAATGTTTAAAAGGGAAAAACAGAAATTAATATCATGTCACGCGTTATTGATCAACGGATAATACAAGATCCTTATTCAAATGGAAGAAGGTACACAAAATATTGAAACAATTCAAAGCACAATATTTTTTAAGTTTTTGGTTGGAACTTGGTTTGTAGATCCACAATCACCCTAGGATCCAACTGGAATGCTCTTTCAAGAACATTTGGGTTTATCAATGGCTTAGACCCAAACAAAGTGTTAGCAATAGTGACAACACCTGGATTTTGGCTGCTCAAAGCAGCGAATGCAACCGCTGGAAATTTTCCCACATTGGCTTGGAAATGGATGAGTCCTTCCGGAAACACAAATACATCACCCTCGTTGAGTGTTTTTGTGAAGAGACGGTTTCCATCTCCGTTGGATGTGACAAACCCAACAAAAAGTGTACCAACCCCAACATACAAGATCTCGGTGGCACGTGGGTGGGTGTGAGGTGGGTTCTGACCATTCACTCCATAGTCTATTCGGACAAGTGAGATTCCAAGGGTGTTTAGCCCTGGAATGTTGTTGACATTAACTGCTGTCACATTCGACCCAACCGCGTTAGCTACGGGTCTTGGATTTTGAAGCCCCGACATGAAGAAGTCATCCGCTGTGACGAGCTTTGGATCTTTACAGAACTTTCCATTCACAAATACTGATAATCCAAATAATTAATGAGAAATCAATACAAAACCAAAAACCAAACAATGAGAAATTAAAAGATGAGCGTAAAAATGATTATGGAGTCATGATCATGTACGTACCACCATCTGCTGGGGTATTGACGCCGACGCAGAAGTCTTGAAGAGGGCTTGGGTCAGAAGCAATGGCTAATGGAGGTGTTAAAGCCAAGAGAGATAGAATTGCGAGAACGGAGACGCTCTTCATGGTCATACCTTAACTTTCTTTCGATGAAAGGAAAAGATTTTTTCTTTTATTGGAGGTGTAAGAAAGCATGTGTTATAGAGCTCAATTTATAGATGCTTTTAGGTGTTGAACCAGTCCATATAGACTATTCAACTTGTGTATAGACTATGTTTAGGCTATACATATATGTACTGTACATTATATACATTCATGGGCGGTTCTAGTTAAGGCAAATGGACTTGCACCCAGTCAAAATTGAATAATTAATGTAACTTCTTTAAACATTAAGTTAGTGCCTCCACAATAAAATCTTGTTTTCCTCCATTCCTTTTCAAACCACAGTATTACCAAATAATTAGACAAAAAAATTCATTTTTTTTAAGTTTAAAGTAAAAAAACCTAATATGGAAAACATAACTGATTTATTTAAATACTAACTGCTTTTTTTTATCATCAATTATCTTTTTTAAATTTAAACGGCTTTTTGTATTTCAAATATTATTAAATTCTATATATATAATATTGATAAAACAGTATTTACATCTCCTAATGGATAACAAAAAAAATTATTGATCTAATTATATAAATTTGTGTAATATATTTAAAGCTGGATTAAAAATATAATATTGTTAAATAAGTTTATTTTTAATTATTAAATTTTGCCTTTAGTCAAATAAATTTCTAGATCCGCCCATATACACTTGTAAATCCAAAAGTGCGACGATGTCTGAACTAGAAGTTTGAAATGCCCAAAAATATGTTTAAATTTCGCTCACTCATTTCTTAACACCCATGTTTATGGTGGTAATATATCTATTGCACAGAAACATATAATATAACTTTTAAAAACATTATTCCAAATGATGCACTTGACTTTTGAACGGGCATGTGTTTGTTTAATGATTCTATTTTCTCAACTTGTTATGAATTTATACGTGCTTATTTGGATAAAGATTCTATTGAGTTGACTCGAACAAATGTCAATGTGGATTTGTTGGTTTGGTTTATTATTCCTTAAGCAACAAGCCAAGACTGTATCAACTCATTATGTTAGTCTAAATCGATGTCGAAAATTGGAAGAGACCAGGTTTCTAACTTTGTTGAGAAATATTATAAGTTTGACACATAAACTTAAACACATCGATTGTGCACCGACGTCATCGCAACCCTAAATTGTCCATTCATCTTAGGCGTGCTGTTTTTCCGAATAGTTCATTGAGAAGATAAAAAAGAGCTTATGTGTTTGGGTTCAAATCATACAAGATAGAATATATAAATATAGTTTAATCATATGGTGTGACCCTGCCATCTCATAGAATTGTTCGTTTTCTTTGACATAATTTTGTTGTTCTCATTCACTGACTATTTTTTAGATATGTTTTATGGGTAGTTTCCACGTTCTTATGTTGAAATAAGGTGTTTGTAACAAATTTGCGTTGTCACATTATTCGTTTCCAAATGATTCTCCATACTAGTTTACAATTACTGATGGATCATTTACTACAGCTCTCTCTTTCTGTTCCATCGTTATTTCTGCCTTCACATTTGCATTTGCATTTTAAGACACTTGTTAATTATTATTGAAAAAAATGTAGTATCAGTAAATAACCATAATTTGATCAATTATTTGCAAATTTGATAGATGAAAAAATTGTAATAATATCATCGATGTCATTTAATTTGTACTGCCATGTTTTGTAAAATACCATGATTTCTGTGCATGTTTACAAAAATAAATAATGAGTTTGATTGGTATGTCAACTTAATAGCTAGTAGTATCATTTTTTTAATGCTAGTTTCTTTATTAATAAAACTGGAGAGTACTCATATACAGAAAAGGATGCCAATAAGCATCAAAACAGAGCTTAAAAGCCAAAAAAACAAGACATAGAAAGGCATAGTGGTTCCAGCCATCAATCGTGGTGGGGAAGGTCTTCCTATGCATGATAATGACAGACATATTGCAAACTTAATCAGTGGTTGTAGTTTCAGAGACAAGTACTTGATGAAGCCAAAAGGGTCCCCTGCTGGAGATGTACAATTGATACATGTGGTCTCTCGTTACACTGACCGCAATTTCCTCAGCCACTCGATTGTTTTGCTTGTTAATATCATTCAAACTCCAGATTCCCAAAATATTCAAATGTATGAATATTCGTGATATCACATTATGGTGCTATGGAAAGAGTTGTGGGTTCAGCATTACCTCTCGTAGTTACTCACATGATGATTCCAGGATGACGTTTGATTGATTTATGACCGCTAGTGATTCCATAGCCCATAAGAGACTCAACAAATCCGCTTCACATGATGACGTAATTGTAGAGTAGGACTGTCTACTATGATACAAAGTATCTCCATTGTGATCTCTCACTATCCACGATACACCACAGTTTCTGTTCGGCAGAACCCATAAAACCCCAATGTTGCATTTAAGCGTATGTGTTGGAGGTTTAACCCATTTGTCTTGACCCGTCAGGGTTGACAGAGGATCTGGCACACTTATTTTACAAGCTGTTCGTACTTAGCCATCCATCAGCCTCGTCGAGAGCCTTGGAGACAATCTCTCACAGTGGTGTATGTATCTGTTCAAAGACAAGACAGTTACGGGATTTTCAGAGATGCCACAATATACATGGGAAGGCCAGGCGGATTCCTGTTGTTGGCTCTTCTTTCGTGCTGGCATTGAGGAGGTGGTACACATTTAAGAACACCAAAGTCGGAGAGAAACTAGAGACTGGCATAGGAAAACCGGACAGTTGCCATACATTTTTGGCCAACCTGCATTCAAAAAGGGTATGGAAAATTGTTTTTATTCCTTCTCCACATGTACTACATGTGCCATCAACTGGGATTTGACGTGATTGTAGTCTTTGTTTCACGTCTAAGGCCCCAGGTAAGGCTTTCCAGAGGAATTGTTTGAGTTTAGGAGTGGAATTAATCTTCCACAGTTTGGCCCTATAACCTCTTCTTCAAATGTGGCATGATCGGACCTTGAGGTAGTTGTAGAGCTAACTGATCATCAAGGAGTTTGTATCCGCTTTTCGTTGTATATTGACCATCTTTGGAGAACCCTCACACTAGCTTGTCTGCCCTGTCCAAAGAAAGTTTTATTTTCAAGATCCATTCCACGTCATCCGGATCAAAGCTTTGGCGTAAACTCATGATATCCCATCTCCCTGGTTGAACATCCAAGAGATCTGAAACTCTAAGGGTTAAGTCAATGATGCTATCCTGCCTATACAAAGGAGGTCTTGGTAATTCGTCAATCAACCAATTTGTTGCCCATACGTTTGTGTCCCTACCATCACCAATCCAAATCACTAGTCCTTGTTTCAGTAGTTGCAGACCGTGAATGATGCTCCTCCGAGCATAAGAAGGTCTGTTGCCTACACCCGCTTCAAGCATGGAAGAGTTCCGGAAGTACATTTGCTTTAGAATTCTCGAGAGTAGAGATTCAGGTTTGTCCCAGATCTGCCACGCCTGTTTGCATAGAAGCGCTTGATTAAACCGGCTGATATCATGAAAACCCAACCCTTAGTCATCTTTGGACTTGCATAATTTTTGCCATGCTACCCATGATATCTTGTGTGGATTGCTGCCACTGCTCCACCATAATTCTATCATGATGCTTGTAAGTTTTTCACATAACCCTTTTGGGAGTTTGAAATATGACGTAGCAAACACTGGTAAAGCAAGGCCTACGACTTTTAGCATTATCTCTTTACCTTCTGGAGAAAAGACTTGAGCATACTAATTTTGCACTCTGTTTTTCAGTTTTTCCTGGATGAAGTTTAATAACTTAATATTGGATCCACTGAAACATTCTGGCAAACCCAGATAGGTCCCCTCTCCACCCTCTTTATTTATTCCTAGATAAAATTTAATTCCATCTTTAACGGTTTCTATCACTTTTGAACCAAAGATAATGAATGATTTCTCTTTGTTGATAATCTAACATGAGGTCTCTCCACAAAGTTTTAAGCATCTAGTAATCTCTTTGGCTTCATAAGTGGATGTCTTACACATGAGGAGACTATCATCGGCAAACAGCAAGTGATGCACTACAGGACCATTCGCAGCAAGACTAATGCCATGAAAGCGTCCTTGGGTTTCGGAATGGTTGAGAAAACTCACAAGAGCCTCAGCACATCGTATGAATAGAAATGGAGACAAAGGATCACCTTGTCTAATGCCTCACTCTGGCCTAATAAAGTTGTGTGTTCTGCCATTGAGGAGTATAAAATATGTGACCGTACTTATACAAGCCATAACCCATTTAATCCATACATGCGCAAATCCCATCTTTTCCAATAGTGTCTCCAAGAAACCATTCCACTCTATCGTAGGCCTTGGACATATCCGTCTTAATTGTCATAAAATCCTTATCCACTCGGGGATATGTCTTTAAGGCATGTATCATTTCATGAGCAATAATGATATTGTCAGAGATAAGCTTTCCAGATAGAAACGCTCCCTAAGTGTCTGATATAATATCTGATGAAATGATTTTAAGGCGGTCGCATAAGATCTTGGAAATTATCTTGTATTGAACTGAACACAGGCTGATTGGTCTCATATCCTGCATCTTTGTAGGATTTGGTATCTTCGGCAACAGACATAACTGAATATGATTCCATCCAGCCGGAAAAATCGCCGAAACAAAAAAGTTTGAACCTCCTTGATTATGGCAGGACCCACTATGTGCCAGAACCGTTAGTAGAAGACACCCGGGGCACTGCTACCTTTGATATTGAACACAACTTTTTTAATCTCTTCCATGGAGACTGTTGCTATTAGGATCTGATTCATCTATGTTGATACTTTTGAGTTAAAACCATAAAACAGTGATTCCAAATCAAAGGGGTTTGAGCTGAGAAATAAGTCACGGAAGTAGTCGACAATAATATTCTCTTTAGATCCCTCATGAAACTGTTCTCTACCAAGAGCATCGATGAGCATCAGAATACGATTTTTGGTTTTCTTTCCCTTTACACAATTGTGAAAATATGATGTATTCATATCCTCCAATTTCAGCCATTGCTCCCTGTTCTGTTGTTGCCAAAACATCTCTTCATCTCTATAAACTTCAGCCAAATCCCGTTTCAGGTTTTGCATTAGCATTTTATTTGGAAATTATTTTCCCACTTCTTGTTCCAGAGTATGCCTTAAGCTCGTTATACGATCTTAGGAGTTGAGGATGGAGTTTTTTTCCATTTGGAGAGTTCTCTACAACAACGTCTGATGTGATCCATTATAGGCACATTCTCATCCTCCTCAAATCCATCCTAACCCATCCTGATGATGTCTTCAGTGCCTTTTCTCTGAGCCATTCTCTTGTCAAAATAAAATCTTCCCCTGTTTGGACCATCTACTTCAAGAGCAAAACCCACTCTGATTGGCCGGTGATCAAAAAGCTAGTATCTATTAGATAATAGATGAATATATTTTTCTCTAAGCTAGTTATAAATTTAAAATGTGGGGGATGAATTGTAAAATAGCGTATTAATTTTTACTTTTTATCATTCAATGTTTAATATAATTATTGATATGTATTTAATAGAATCATGTTCTCAAAACATGAAAAAGTAAAGTACATACCATTCAACTCCTATATTATTTTATTCTATAATACGATATTTTACATAATATCATATTTTTGTATAAATTACACCAACAGAAAAAAAAACCTCAATTTAATTGTAGTTTTGCACCTTTGCTCTAGTAGCTTGTCTAGTCTGTGAATGCACTGTAACACCAACTTGTGACTTTTTGAATGCTCTAGCAAGACATTGATGAAAAAGAGTGAGAAAGAGAATTGTTAAAAAAAAAAGAAATAACGGTTTTGCTTCCAACACTTTGTTTTGCCAGTATTGACTCATTTGGTTATCTACCAAATTAGCCATGTCACACTAAATGTATTCATTTCCAAAGTTTCTTACAAATGGTTTCGTTAGTCGTTAGTAAGTTTTACTATGAAACTTTGAAAACCTAGTTAATTTGTTTTGTTCTTTTTTTAGGAAACTTGTTTAACTACATTATGTTTCCATCGTAAAGATGCTAACAAAAAAAATTAATAGTTTGGCTAGAGATCCTCTGTCACGAATGTGTTTCATTGTTGATGAAATAAAAAAACAATCAATTCATTGTGAAAGTTGAAGGTAAAAGCAACGACCAACAATACATGACCCTTATTTAGACGAATAAAGGAAAAACAAAAGAAAAATTCCAAAACACAAGTTTTGTTATATCATGAATCAGAACTTGTTCTGTAGGTCCATGACAACCTTAGGATCCAACTGGAATGCCCTAGCAAGAACATTGGGGTTTATCGGTGGGTTAGATCCAAACACGGTGGTTTTGGCTGCTCAATGCAGCGAATGCAACCGCTGGAGATTTTCCCACATTGGCTTGGAAATGGATGAGTCCTTCAGGAAACACAAATACATCACCCGTGTTGAGTGTTTTTGTGAAGAGACGGTTTCCATCTCCGTTAGATGTGACAAACCCTACTAAAAGTGTCCCTTCTCCCACAACTAAGATTTCTGTGGCACGTGGGTGTGTGTGAGGAGGGTTCTGTCCGTTCACTCCATAGTCTATACGGACAAGTGAGATTCCATGAGTGTTTAAACCCGGAAGATTGTTAACATTGACGGCTGTGACATTTGATCCGACCGCATTAGTGACGACTCTTGGTTTGTTAAGCCCTGCAAAAAAGAAGTCATCCACGGTCGCGAGCTTTGGGTCCTTGCAGAACTTTCCGTTCACAAAAACTGAACATAGTAACCAAATGTTACAAAACATTAGTGTAAGAAATGATAAATCAATGGAATATGTGAGGAAATCAACATGTACATACCGCCATTTGCTGGGGTGTTGACACCAATACAAAAGTCTTGAAGGGGGTCAGAAGCAATGGCTGATGGAAGTGTCAAAGCCAAGAGAGATAGAATTCAAGAAAGGTGAGAATCTTCGTTGCCATAAATATGTTATTAACTGAGGTGGTTTCTTGAAGAAAAGTGTTTTTGTTTCTGGAGTATGGTTTTAGTCGAGAGGTAATAAACATATGAGACATTGAGCTGAATTTATAGATGAGTTTAGCTGCTGAACTAGTCTATATACACCTGTAAATATAGGAAATTCGAAAAAATGAATTATAAGTTTGAAATGGTTAAGAAGTTTTTTGATCGTGCTCCCACAACACACCATGTTTATGGTACTAGTACTTCAATTACAAAAGTACAATACATTTTGATTACTAATGAGAAATGATCTATTTGAAGTTTGAAATGGCAAGTGTTCACAAGTTATACGTAAAATGTTTGTTTAATTATAATCTTTCCTCAATTTGTCATTAATTTATGTACGCTCATCTTGATTATATTTCATTTGCACATGCAGCTGAGTTGACTCAACCAAATGTGAATATGAAACTGTTTGTTGGGTTCGGTTGTTTCTTTAAGTGAGCAGGCACGACTGTATCAACTTATATAGATGTAATCATGTAAATTTAAATCGTTATAAAGAACGTACTAGAGATAATTTCTTCTAGAGTTATTAACGAATATTCAAAAGATGAAGAGAGAAGCATGGTAGTTAAACTTCAACAGCGCCAACTTTTTATATAACAACTCATTAACCCATATCTTGTAGTATTAGACACTCTCGTGAACTGTGATCAACGTGGCAGAACTGACGGCTCCAACAACCACAGAAACACCACTACAACCAGTAATCAAAGAGAAGAATCGCTCAATTGAAGAAGTAGAGGATGAATGATAGAGTCTAAGTTTTAGCCAATTATTTTATTATTGTAAGTGTACATCAAAGCAATTGTAGCATAAAGAGTTATCGAATTTCAAGGGAGTAAGCTACTACACTATAGATTTTAGATTCAGATTAAGCTAAGCAGTAATGAATGAATGTAATTCGAAATAACTAAAATAAGGAAAGAAGGCGATTTTGGTTGTTTGTTCTAAAGTTCAGAAAGCTAAAAGCGCTGAGTCAGGATAATTCGCAGGTTGAATCCGAGAATGTAGAATGCATGCAATCAGGAATGAATTAAAACCGTCTAGAACTCAAAACACAATGATATAACTAATCAATTTTTATTGCAGAAGTTATCTATGCCTAATTCACAGTTCTCTTTGCAAATTCTAACAAGTTAAACAAACATTAAAGATCAGGTTTCGATTGTTCACAAAACTCCTAAGTCAAATCTCTTTGCAAATAGGCGTTTTGCTCATCTAATACTAGTTCAGGTGATTAACAATGTTCTCACATCTATTAAACAATCTAAGGTTTCGAAATCTAGATGATTAGTCTAAGAAATCGATATGAAAGCATAGATGAAGAACCAATGAACTTTCCCAACAGTTTGGCAATTCTACAAACTCTTCATTAACCTTTAAATCATCCTAACTTAACTAACAGATTACTCAGACATGAATATGAATGAACAAAGCATACCTGAAGTAAATTGCATTGAAAAGATAAAGAAGAGAGAAACAAGGGTTCGAAATCTTCTCTAAAAGAGTACAGGATTTATCTCCCTCAAAGCTCTGAATAATATCTCTCTCAAAAGCTCTCTGAAATCTAAGATACAAGATAAAAGCCAAACAATGGCTGAAAAACCTAATATACAGGCTAAAACACAAGTTGGGGTCTTCTTGTAATTAGTAGAACTCTTGGGCCAAAAGTGCAAATTCATCTCCATTTTTTAATAGAACACGCGACTCCTTCTCAAATGAGGGTGACGAGCGTCACCCTTGAGTGGTGACGATCGTCACCAGTGCACAACATCGCCTTATGAGTTGCTAACTTCGGGCATGATTCTTGTTTTGATCCAAAAAGCTCCAAAACCTCCAATTGTGCTCCAGTCATGCTATAACCTGCAAAGACTCTACTAGGACTCTAAAAAGACCAAAAAGACTCAATAAAAAGGACTTATACCATGGTTAAAAACCATAAAAATCATGATATATCAACTCCCCAAGACTTAGCTTTTGCTTGCCCTCAAGCAAACATCAGACTGAGAACAGGGTCGGGGTTTGAAAACAAAAGCAGCCAGCTAACCATAGGAACGCCACATTGATCACTACTTTCAAATCCACATACCACAAAGCCAACACAAGATCATATTTCAGTATACTTATCACAAGCTTAGCAATCTCTCAAATACAGTTCATGCCCCTTCAAGAAATCCAGAATCTCTACTGCTAACTCTTTTTATTTATCTAAGTATGATATCTCATCAAGGATTTATCAACTCAATGACTTATAGATTCTTTCCCTTCCTAAACACTGAACAAACCAGTCTCAATACAGCTCTCCTATTTTCTCTTCCCTTGATCTATTTTCTTTTGATTTTTTTCGATTTTTCAACTTCTTTTCTGATTTTTGTTTACAGCCTAAAAACTGATGCTACTCAATACTTGTGTTCCTTGTGAGGAGACAGGTTCATGAGTGTTCACTACTGTTGTTCCTTGTAAGGAAACATGGTCGTGATGCATCATTCATTAGACTTAAACTCTACAAGCTGTATCAGGGAAGATCAAAGAGAGACTGCATCTAAACATTCTTGTCAGTGTTGAAAGGGAGAATCAAGATCAGTTAATATCAAGCCCGAGGTTGAGAAGTTAAAAGTTCATTAAGGTGGAGTTATTAATAAATTTTCCAGATTCTCTAAGAACATAAACCTTCTTTGCTAGACTGACCTACCTATGACTTTCAACTTAGTAAGACTTGTAATCAACACCTGTGGCAATGGTTCTCATAAGCATTAATGTTTTGTGGTTAGTTCTTAGAAAAAATGACAGTTTCAAAATTTTGACTCTATAAAACAGGTTTTTGACTCAACTTCAAGTCTTTCAAAACAAGACATAATGTACACAACGTCAGTAGCCACCTTCCCCAGACTTAAACAACACTGTCCCCAGTGTTATTAAGCCTAGAGATGGTCAAGAAGAAGTAAGAGAAGACATTGAAGCAGTTGAAAATTGGTACCTTGCGAAGGAGTCGGTGATGAGCATCACGATCGTCACCATGTATGAAACTCCAAAGTCGTCCGGTAGATGTGTTAATGTAATGCCATCATGTGTACTCCGAAGTTAGACTGTTAGAGCACTCAAACACACATTAAAACATCCAAATAAAGCATCACTCATGGTTCAACAAGTTCACAAAACATCATCAAAGCAGACTGACAAACTGACTCAAAATAAAACAGAAAAATGACTCAAGTGAATGAAAAATGAAGGGAAAAGAAACAAGTAACTGGTATAGTGGAGGATCTAGTCCTCATCCTCAGAGTCAGCCTCCTGAGGTACGTATGGGCGAATGCAACCGCAGTTGCTCACAGTAGCGACAGCGTTCCAGAGACTATCAAAACTCTGGAAGACATAGTCCTGAATGCTGTCATATCCATCGTGGTCGGAGAAGCAACATGGCACCTGAGGTGTGGAAGATCTGGTGCATGAATATGCTGGCGTCGCGATGGTCCAGCATGAGCAGCAGCAGTAAAAGAAGACCGCACCAGCAGAAACGCTATTAGGGCGTCGGGAAGGAACAAAAGATCGCAGCAGAGTCGGGTCACACAGGAAACACAGCTGTCGTGGATCCGCCTGAATCGTAGTGAGCTCTTGGTTGGGAAACTAAATGCCAACATACTCCCCATCAGTAGTAGTAAAGGTCCAGATCAGTTTGTGCTTAAGCCAAGTGGCATGCCCCAAGTGTGCCTCATCCATAAGAGCGCGCACAGTGACAACTCTGCAAGGCTCTATGTCGATCTGGAAATGCTGAAAGAGAGGCATCAGAAGGCTGCCAACGCTCTCCGTCTTGGCTCCCGAGCTCGTGAATAGCTTGGTCTTCAGAGAGACCAAGTGCTCTGCAAATATTGAGCCCAAGTTGGAGCGGACCATGCTCTCCTGCGGGATCTCATCATCAAGCATCAAAGAGAACCTGTAATACAACAGTATAAGCTCGCTCACATGCATCTTACTAGGCGCGGACTTACACAGAATCGTGTTGCTTAGAAGATGCAAGATGTAACGCACTACAAGATGTCTGACGTCAGTCTACATGCTCGTCTTGGATTCGTAAATCCCGTTCCCGAACTTAGACTAGAAGGTCTGCATATGGGGCCACTGCGAACGCGTGATCACGCCTGTAGGATGCTGATCAAACCCGTAAATCTCGCAGAGCTCGAAAAGACTGATCCTGTGGCGAATGCCTAGGATCAGGAATGTGAGAGTGCCCTACTGTGCTGTCTTAGCCAGCTCGTTCCGTAGTACACACGAACTGTGGCCAGAAACTGGCAGACCAGATCAGGGTAGAAATCATATTGTCTGGTCGCCATGGTACTCATACCGATCCTCCTCAGAACCCGGGTCACCTCCTCTTTGATGCCCAGCTGGTTCAGCACCTTGCTGTCCACGAATCGGGTGGGTAATATCTTCACATCCTGCCACGCATTGTAGAACAGCGCGTCATGCTCATCCCAGCCCTCCTGAATATCGCAAAAGGTGCAGGAATCTTTCATTATCTCCTCTCTTTTGGGGTGCCTTCCAAAACAATTCCCGATGCTATCTTCTTGTCCTCGCGCTTAGGCCATGGTGGCAAGCACGGTGGTCCTGTGTTGACCGGTAGTTCGGAACCAGATGCCTCGCTGGTGGAGGAGGATGATCGCTGTCTCTTCTTATCTGGAGCCATCTGCAAATCAAAAGCAAAATCATCCAAAAATCCACCAAAATTAGTCAAATTTCAAAAATTTCGAAAATCAATGATTCATGGAGAAACAAGCATCAGCATTCATAACACTACCAGTAACACAATTTAATCCCAACTTCAACCCAAAACACCCAAAAATTCCAGATTTTCACAAGTTTTATCACAAATTCAAAAATTTCAAAAACTTACA